GTTTTATCTAAATTTTTATTATGTGACTCAAGTCTTTTTGAGGCGATTTCTATGTTTAATTGTTTAATTAATTAATTAGTATGTCTGTAGCGTGAACTACAAACTGGATTCGATTAATTGTTTTTGTTGTATACGTAAAAATTTTGAAGATAGAACTATTACCATATAAGAATTATAATGATCAGAGGAATTCACGAACAGTATCGACAGTATATGTATATACTTCCGGTGTGTTTATTTGGATATATGTGGGGTTCTCATATTTACATTGATGAAACTGCATACGGATAGTCTTTCCTCTCAAGATTTGTGCCAATAATAAAGAAACATCTAATCCTTATTCTCTATCTAGAGAATAAAAATGTAAGAGTGTTCCGTCATTATCCGCCTAGACGAATGTATATTATTGACAACAATAGTCATGTATTCAATCTCTCAACAATTTACTCATCTCTTTCCATTTTTGCCTGTCTTTGTTTCTCTTCTCCGACATATATAAGGGGAGGAAAGCAAAGAATAGACGGACATTGTTGTAACGAGTTGTTTAATAACAACGTATAATCGATAGTACTCATATAATGAACAATTCGTCTTGAAATAAAAAACAAGATAGTAAGTCACGAAATTATAATATAAGGATATTTAGTTACAATTTATCTATTTGAAGCATCTGTTCTTGACATGAACGACTGTCAAGAAAAAAATTGTTTTTTCGAAACTCAAGTTATTGAGGTAAGTGGAATACAATCAATTTTGGTTTAATGACGAAAGAAACTAATTCATTCGTTGTAGATTGAGTGTAATGACAATTACATTAGTTTACGTGATTTGTACGAAGCTGCTTGTTATACGAGTCCAGATTATAATTGTAAACTAGAATATATTTTGTTACGTGCTGGGTTTTTTGATTTATCGCCAGTAAATTTATTTGAATTTCATATTTGTTCAAATCATTATGAACTATTAACATCAGTGACACGACGTCAGAATTGTAACATTTGTAAACTTGTGTTTGGACAAAACAGGAAATCCTCAACAGGCGGTCTTCGAACTGTTTCAAAGCTTATCGCCATGGGTTTATGGTCAGACCATCATCTTTCCACATATGATAAAACAATTTGTGCTACCTGTCGTTTGAAATTAGAAAAACAATATAATAATGATGATATTCGAAAAAAATGTGAAAATATTTTTAAATGGCTGCACGATCCAATGATAGTCTTCACACCTGAAAAGACTGAAACCACGTACAATAGTAGTTATTATGCTAGCAGTGGATTATCAGACAAAAAGGAAAGTTTTTCACATTGGTTAAAAGAGCATGGTTTTAATGGAAGGGTACAAAAAACTTTATCATATGATAATTTGCAATATCATAGTAAAACAAAGTTCGTTTCACTTCTAATAATTTTTTATATTGGTTATCATTGCAATCTAATTTAGTCTTCTTAATCAAATAAAACATATTCTGCTCTACATTATTGAAATTCTTGCACCGAACAATATAGAAGAAGTGTGGAACGATTTAATTGATATTGAAAATGAAGACAAGAAGAACAATTACGACCGTGATCATCAAATTATTATGGAAGCTCTTGCTGATGCATATTCAAATTCCCAGCATTGGTCTACCAAGCGCCAGCTTCTGTCAATCATTGCTGCTGATTTATCATTTCATTCAATTGCACAATATATACCAGATATAACCTTATGGAAATTTAATGAAGCTCGGCGACAAGCAAAACTAAATGGCACGGTTAAAATGACTTTTTTTAAAATATAGATGGTTGAGTTTTATTATTTGTACAGGTCGTGGAACAGTTGTTGAATTCGATAGATCAACCACAATTCGATTTTCAAATAACCAAGTCGAGCATTTTATTGAGTACATATTATCACCTCATATCACCATTGATCTTCCATTCGGAAATAAAAATATCAAAATGAGCAATGGCACAATTATCACCGTTCCAAATCATATTCGTAATCTAATACCATCTCGTATTATAGTGCAATATCATCAATTTTGTAATGAAACTTGTCCGAATACTTTCAAACCATTGTCAAAAAGTATTTTGTATGAAATTTTGGATGGCTGCTCAGCATCAACAAGAAAAAGTTTGCAAGGATTAGATTATTTTTCTGCTGACGGGTCAACAGCTTTTGATAACTTGATAAACATTGCTAATGAATTATTAACAATTGGTAAAATGAACATTGTTCACATTATTTTATTCTGACTGAATTATATTTAGGTGTATCTGATACCGTGGTGAGACAATTAAAAAATGATTTACAATTATCTAGAAATTACCTTAAAAATGATTACAAACTGCATATTCACGATGGATCAACAATTCCTGATCATTGTTCATCATTTTCGTTGAGTGATCCACATGAAAAGGAATGGCAACAACCATGCGATCATCATCATAATGATGAATGTGAATATTGTACCTTACTTGAAAATTCCTTTCTGCTATTAAGTTCATTAGTTAAGAATAGCACAAACAATTGTTCACCTGATAAGAAAAAAAGACTTTTGCATCGAATCGCACATAATATTGAGTTAATACATGACTGGAAATCGCATCAGTTACGTACAGTTAATCAAGAAAAGGCTCGGTCTGAAATATTAGAAAATTTGGATTCGAAGAGTGTTTTCATACAAATAGATTGGTCAATGAAGTTTTTAGCAAAAGAGTATCGTGAATCTCAACGACAATGGTTTGGTTTGTACTAGATTTTGAAAAAATTTATCTAATTTCTAATAGACTTTTTTTGAAAAATAGCTAAGCGTGGTCTTTCATGGCATATTTGCTATGCAATTAAATTGCACTCATCAGCTTCTTTTTCAACCACAACAAAAGAGAAAAAGTTTGAGCATCGAACATTCGCTCATATTTTCGATCAATGCATACAAAATGGACAAACAGTAACAAGTATAATCAGAGATGTATTCATACGAATTAAGTCAACAAATCCTGAAATAGAATACGCATTTTTACGTGGTATGCTTATTTTATATACACATTTTTTTTAATTTCTAACTATGACTAGCATTTAGCGGATAACGCAGGATGTTTTCATGGTAGTGAATTTTTGTTAGCTGTAAAAGCACTTTATGAAGAAACTGGTATATTTATTAAAAGAAGTATTAACAGAAAAGGCTTTGTTTGATTTTTTTACTTCTTGATGTTTTCAGTTGACTTTTCAGATCCACAGTCCGGTAAAAGCTGCTGCGACAGAATGGCAGCTGTTATTAAATGTAATATCCGTCGTTATATAGACGAAAAACATAATGTCACCAACAGCAAAGAATTTATTGAAGCTGCACGAGAAACAAAGTATTTATCACTTTATGCTAGCTCAACTTCTCGTGATCAAACTCAGCTGAAGAAAAAGAAACTTGAATGGTCTGGAGTCAAGACATTTAACAATATTGAATATTCTAAGACAAACATATCAACACCATTACAATTACAGAATACAGATAAAAAATTTAAACCTGAACATATGAACGTCAAATGCTGGCGTGCTTGGAAGATAGGAGTTGGCAAAAGTTTTTTATGGAAGGATCTACAAGAAGTTACTTTTATTTCACCCCTTAATGTAGTTGATGAATTCTCGTTCACAAATAATCGATGGTTATTAGAATCTGAAGAGAATGGTAAGTATAGGTTTTGTAAGATTTCCTTTTCTTTGTTTCTATCACACAGAAAAAAATATTTCAGAATCTGTTAAACCAAAACCTATGCCTGATAATGATGAAGATAATTCAATCGACGAAAACTTTGATGACATCAGTCTTTCGGAATTTGAAGTCTTTGATTGTCCTGAAGTAGATTGTATCAAACGATTTATTAAATATGGTCAACTGCTAAATCATCTTTCTACTGGTAAACATATCAAAAACAAAGAAAAAATATCTCTATCAGATACAGCAAAATCGTTGTATCAAAACAAATTGGAATATTCTTCAACTCGACAAGTTCCTTCATTAAAAGATTTCATAATAACACGATCGGTATAGTAATCTTGAATCCTCTATTGATTTTCAACGTTATGTTTCTTTTGTTAGGATGATGTTGAAAAGAAAAAGCCTTTGTCTTATGGATGGGCCCTAACTCATAAGAAAACCAACCACCGATTAACACCAGAACAAAAAAAATTTCTCGAAGATAAGTACAACCAAGGTGAAAAAGAAAATATGAAATGTACTTCAGTTGATGTGGCTCATGAAATGGAAATTCTCATGAATGGTAACGAATATGTTTTCGAACCATATCAATGGCTAAAGTCATCTCAAATACAAAGTTTCTGGTCTCGATTAACTAAAGCTCGTCGTCAATCAAGTCAAAACCATGCAACAACAAATGATAACAAAAATAATATCAATACCAATTATGAATATGAAGCTGATGAGGATGATTTATTTGAACAAGTGGCATACGAAGTGAAAGAGAAGATATTACAAAAAAGGGAACAAATAATAGATAAACCTGTCAATGATTCAGTGGTCACGGTCGAAATGTCCTCATTATCAATGAAAAAAAAACAGTCACAAAGATCCATGGATGATTTCACTGGTCAACAAAGAAAAAGACGATCAGTGGATAAATAGCTTACGGCCATCTTTCAATTCAAATACATGCTTGTTTCTTATTTCGTTAAGTGTATTTTTTTTACTATAGAATGAAAAAATAGAATTATGTCAAACACTGAAGTTTTTATGTATAGCAAATATAGTGTACATTAGATTTCATTAAATAATAATTTGTTTTTGTATTCAATAAAGAAAACAATGAAAATCATCTTGCATACACATGAACCTCATCGAACAATGCAAATTTATATTTCTTCAAATAAAACAATAT